TGCCAGCCTGTGAATCAAAGGGTCACCAATGTAATTCCCCGTCAGGGCACATGCCAGGCCGAGTTCCCAGCAGAGGGCCTGTGACAGGCAACCACACACTGATGTTTCTCTCCCTCCCTTCCCCTCTCTCTAAAAAAAAAAAAAATTAATTAATTAAAAAAAGAATAACAGCATATTGATATGCTGAAGAGAATAATCTCATGAGAAAATGTGATCCCATAGGGCAGAAGTAGGCTAGACCCAAGTAGGATTCTGCATGAGTGAGAGTTAGAGACAAAGAGACTGTTCAGTGAAACTCCAGGTCCTAAAAAGAACAGGAAGGAAAACAGAGGTAAATGTAGGTATGCACACCTCCCACACCCATGACAACTGTCATTAGTATCAAGGCATTTGTCATACCTCTGAGCCTGGAACTGATCTAAAAATTCTCAACACAAACTTCTAGGCATCCACAACAGACGAGAGATATCACATGTGATAAACTACTTCCAAGTAGTTTGGAAGTCTGAAGGTCAAAAAGAGGTACATGAAACAAAACAACAAACAAACAAACAAACAAAAAACCCATCGCCTCTGCTTTCTCTGACAAATAACACCCATAACCAATATTCACGAGGACCCTATACATTAGTTTTAAATTCAGAAGTAGTACTACTCCTGTACTATAACAGAAACTATAATGATCTGGTGGATAAAAGTTGACAAAAGGAAGCTTCAACAAAACTTGAAATCCACACTACTACTTGGAAATTCAAAGCCAGCCATATGCTTCAGAAAAAGCTCTGTCACCCTTACTCCCTCCCAAATCTAATCTCTTTCTATCCTGCCTTGCTCTTTGCTAAATGGTCTTCCCTCCAAATTTTTTGGACTCTGATACCGTAGTCATGAGCTTTATTGATGCTCAGCTTCTTTATTATATGGTCCCCCTACCTCCTAGCTCTAATGGAAACCAGACTCATTCTTTGGTGACTACTTCAGTAAAAGCTAATTATCCTTCCAAGCTCTATGGCCCCCAAAAATATTTCCACACCATTTACCTCCATATCTCTGAGGGCATGCCATCTAAGTATCTTCATCTTTCATATATACTGATTACTACCATAGATGGTCTAAAACCTGAGAAAACAGTCAATCTCATAGTCTCTCTCTCCAACCAGGGTACCACAAACATCTGGGGTTAATGTCTAAGTAAGTAATACTTCCAACACACCAGTCTCCTTGTTCTTTAACACTTAATACAAGGTCTGTCCAGAAGGTATCCAGCCATGTGATATGAAAAACAGACATTTCTTGAAAAGCATATATGATACGAGCAACATTGTAACTAGGACAATGACGCCTCAGTCCCCTTCATAGTAGGTACCTTGGGACCTCACACAGTTCTCCCAATCACCATCAGCTGCCCTGTCATATTTTCCTGAATCTAATCGACGGTCTGAAATCTTTCCCCTTTCAAAGATGATTTTAGTTTTAGAAAAACCAGAGGCCACAGGGCATCAAATCAGGGCTGTAGAGAGGCTGAGTCATCTGGGCGATATGATGTTTTGTCTCTATTAAGTAAATAATAATAAACAATCCATATATGTAGTTTGGATTCTCAACTTCCTTGGGCCAAAATGAATGTTTTCCTATCATGAGTAATGGAAAATGACACGGTATGTAATGTGAAACCTTTTGAAATGTCCTCAAAATATATAAAACTAAAGTAAACTCAGGCTAACTGAATGAAAACCAATATAAATTAAGAAAAGTTAAAAATCATAAATGCAATTTTATGACTTCCATTGTGACTTGAAATAGGTTAAAAATTGAGGGCAGAAGTACTTGGGGGAACCCAACTTATTAAAACAATAATGTGCCACCTAGATCTCTGAAAATAAATTAGATCACCTACATTGCTTAAAAAATTTGTTTCAAATAATTTAAATGGGAGGAAAAAATGACAAACATCCTTTGTTCTGTTAGCTTAGCAAATCTTATTTTCTATCAGGTAGAAATATTACACACAATCTCCATCCAATTTACCACTAATTGTGAATCACAGATTTGTACTATAAAGAACATGCCATACTTACAGATTTTACATCTCTTAAAGCAACGTGTATTGCCCACCTGATAAGAGTTTAAATTATCACCCTAGGTTTCTCTTTATCAGATAAACTAAGCTCATTGTTATAAACCAAGAAATATTGATTAAGATCAAGTTTCCCTATAGACCCACCAATAATCCAGACACTATTATTTCCTTACTCTTGTTCCAAATACAGTTATAATTGTATTTTTTCATTGTGGCTTTTTTGCCCTCAAATTTTAAACTAGAAAAGACTCCACTTGGACTATTTTTCCTCAGTTCTTACACTTCTTAATCTTCCCATCTTGATTTGGTCTGTTTCTAGAACTAGAAAGGTCTAGCAAATGCAAAATTTTGAAAAGTTGTATTTCTTTAATTTTCTATAACCCTAATAGTGATGTAAACAGTTTAATTCAACTAATAGTTGTGGGCATTATCCAAAAAGTATCCCAAGGCTATGAATGTTATGTTTTGGGGGAATTATTCTAGATATGATTTTATTCCTACAGGAAGGCCAGACATATAAGGACCATCAGTCAATCAACAAATGAAACACTTACTACATCTTTATGGGCATTTTTATTCTCAAACTAATGATGTATTTACCATTTGGTTATCAATTCTCAACTGGAAGCAGCATCAATTAAAACATAGTAAATTTTTGTTTGATAACACATCCACATGACACTAATAGACATTATTAGCCAGGTGATGGTGACTACCTAACATTAATCAAGTAAGCAAACAGCCAAGACACATGTTTTAGCTACCCTTTACCTACCGAAGCAAATAAACTTGCTTTGAAAATTGCATTTGTTTAAAATAAGAAGAAAGAAAACTGCATCCACATCCAATTGTTTTTATATCATATCATTATATGTAACATTTAAAAGCTTCTGATTATTACATTTCAAAATTTAGATGAGTCATAGTGCTTCGTATGCAGGTATTGGATATGAATCAAAATCATAAACATGCACTTGCTTGCTAGTCAAAACTGAATGTAGAAAGATTCAAAACAAATAAAACATAACCATAAAATACATTGTGTTTTTTAAAATGGTCATTTCCCAACTATTAACTCAATACATATGTCATTTGCTCCTCCTATCCTTAAACATCTCAAAGTCACAGAATACTCTGAACACATCTCCCCACTTTACAGATAGGTACCTCAGACCTAGGGTCTTTAGTGACATAGTAAGCAACATTAGGGCTCTGGGCCATCATGGTCTGAGGCTTATACTACAGGTGAAAGTAAGGGAAACAAGGAGTCCCAGAAGAGTTCTATCTTATGATACAGGATCACAAGTTTCTATATCTAAATCTAGAACCTGAAATTGAGCCATCAACAAAAATTCCATCTCGGGGAACCCTTTTGCGCTGTTGGTGGGAATGCAGATTGGTACTGCCACTGTGGAAAGCAGTATGGAGTTTTGAATTTTCACTTCAAAAAATTAAAAATGGAACTGCCTCGTGACCCAGCAATTCCACTTCTGGGAATTTATTCAAAGAAACCCAACACACTAATTTGAAAGAATTAAGCACCGTTATGTTTGTTGCAGCATTACTAACAATTGCCAAGATATGGAAGCAGCCCAAGGAGCTATCAGTAGATGGGTTGAGAAAACAACTATGGGACATTTACACAATGGAATACCACTCGACTATAAAAAAAACTTCAGCCTTTGTGACAGCATGGATGGACCTAGAGAGCATTATGCTAAGTGAAATAAGCCAGCCAGATTAAAGTGCCATGTGATTTCACTCATATGTGGAATCCAATGAAAAAACTGAACAAGCAAAATAGAGACAGACTCATAGAAGGGTGAAAGCTTGTGGGGGGATTTTGTGGAGTAAAAAAGAAAGACTCATGCACATGGACAACTGTGGTTATTGCAGGGAGGGCAGTGGAGGTGGAAGACAGTGTAAGGGAGATAAATGGATAGTGGAAAAAATTATACAATAAAAATTAAGTAAATAATAAATTCCATCTCAAATCTAGACAATAAAACTGGCAGATAAACTAGAAGAGGAGGCAGGAGATGCCTGTTTTAGTTTATGGCATAAGACTCTGACCATCATGGAACCCATCAAAAAAAGTCTATTGAACGGATAAATGAAGGATTACATGACACTTCACAGGATAACTTCATTTATTTTAAAAGCTCCAAATCCACGAAATACACTAAGGGATCGGGATGCCACAGCTGAAATTAAAACTCATTGGTAGTACATGTAACAGAAGTGCAAATCTCCCACGGTTATTGCAGACATTTCAAAGCATGCACTTGTACATATATGTGCTGTTATGTACATACAGACACATACAATTTCTTCAGGTAATTATCACAAGTGAGGACCAGAGAACCAGATCTGAAAACAAGCCCTGTTTACCCATAACCCTTTGCATTAAAGTGGACAGGATCTGAGTGAGTCACTAGCAATAAGGAGACAGTTACCCCAGGCCAGGCAGGACATCGCTGGAGTCCCCTGCACTACCCTGGACGAGGGAACCGGTCCAGCGAGGGTGCAATGACTGAAATAAGCTGCAGGTAAGTATGTAAAGATCGCGCTGATCATTTTCGGAGTCAGGATCCCGCTGAGCCCCACCGCGGGCACCAGAGGGCCCCACCCATGCATACCAGAGATTTCTAACGCAAAAGGCCTAGTTTTCAGGGAGTTCACAACCCAGAAAAGACAGGATAAGGGCAAGCCGCAAGCTCCGTCCCCTGCCCGACAGCCCCGTGCCGCAACACGGTCTTGCCGCCACTCGCTCCACGGCCCCATCTCCAGCAGAACCCCAGGCCCACAGGGCCTAAATCACCCTGCACACAAGCTGAGACAAACCACAGGCAGTTGCGACCTGCTGTGTCCTACCAGGGCACTACGGCTGCCAGTCCACAGCCAGGCCAGAAATACCGCTTACCTCCCTTCTGCTACAAGTTCAGCCCCACGCCGTCCGCTTGACGTGGCCCGCCCCGCCGCCGTCTCAAACATCCGGGGGTGGGGCTACCTGGAGATGGCCAATGCGCTACAGACTGAGAGGGCGGGCCCCGCCTCCTTCAGTTTTGACCCGCCCCACCTTGCAGGCGTGCAGGCGCGTCCGAAGGCGGCTCTCTGCGTCTCGGAGGTGGCGTGAGTGGTGGAGTCTGGCTTTGCAGCCTCGGGGTCAGGAAAGGTGGTGCACGTAAGGGCAGAGTTTGCACAGGTGCCGTCTGTGTGGCAGCACCTCAGTGGAGTTATCCCAAAGCAAAGCAAATTGAAAAATACCCCTATACAGCTTTCGGTGGCTTTTTGGGATTTGAAATTTTTTGTTTCCTAGGTAGTACCGATAGGTAGCATTAGGATTCAGAATATTTTTTCTTTTTTAAAAAATTTCAATTGTTCAAGTACAGTTTTCTGCCTTTTACTCCCATCCCATCCCACCCCCCAAGCCCTCCCCGCGTCCCTCCTGTTTCCACTACCCTCCTTGTTTCTGTCCATGTATCCTTTATACGTGTTCCTGCAAACCCTTTCCCTTTTCCCCTGAAATTCCCTTCCCTCTCCTTTACTGTTATTCTATTACAATTGTCTCAAATTTTCCCTCTTTGTCTTCCTCTGCCCATCCAACCCTGGTTTTCCTGCCCCCCCCCAACCCCCACAGTCAATTTCCACACTGTCGTCTATGTCCCTGGATCATTCATACATGTTCTTTGACTAGCCCCTCTTTCCAGCATTATCACCCACCCTCCTCCCCTCTGGTTACTATCACTCTGTTCCATATTTCCATGCCTGTGCTTCTTTAGTTCTTTAGTTTATTTAATTTATATTAGATTCCTCTTACAAGTGTGATCGCATGGTATTTGTCTTTCATGGCCTGGCTTATTTCACTTAGCATAATACACTCCAGTTCCATCCATGCTGTCAGGAAGGATAGGAGCTCCTTTCTTTTCGCCGTATAGTATTCCATTGTGTAAATGTACCAAAGCTTTTTAATTCACTCATTTACCGATGGGCACTTAGGCTTTTTCCAGTACTTGGGTATTATACATAGCACTGCTATGAACGTAGGGGTACTTAAGTTCTTTTGAATTGATGATTCGGAATTCTTAGGGTATATTCCCAGGAGCAGAATTGCTGGATCAAAAGGCAATTCCAGCCCTGGCTGGTGTAGCTCAGTGGATTGAGCGCGGGACTGTGAAGAAGAGGGTCGCTGGTTCGATTCCCAGTCAGGGCACATGCCTAGGTTGCAGGTCAGGTCTCCAGTGGGGGACACATGAGAGACAACGACACATTGATGTTTCTCTCCCTCTCTTTCTCCTTCCCATCCCCGCTCTCTAAAAATAAATAAATATTTTTAAAAGGCAATTCCATTATGAGTTTTGGGGGAAATTCCGTACTGTTTTCCACAGTGGCTGCACCAGTCTGCACTCCCACCCATAGTGCATTAAGGTTCCATTTTCGCCACATCCCCTCTAGCACTTGTTTATTTATTAATGATAGCCATTCTGACAGGTGTGAGGTGATATCTCATTATGGTTTTAATTTGTACCTCTCTGATAAGTAGTGATATTAAGCATCTTTTCATATGTCTATGGGCCACCTATATGTCCTCCTTGGAGAAGTGTCTGTTCAGGTCCTTTGCCCATTTATTAACTGGATTGTTTGTCTTCTAGGTGTTGAGTCATGTAAGTCCTTTACATATTTTGGAGATGGCATATTTCAATAGTGAAATATCAGAAAGAGTAACTAGGAAATAATCCCATAGCAACAAGAAAAATAAAGTACCTAGGAATAAATTTAATCAGTGAGGTTAAAGACCTGTACTTGGAAAACTATAGAACACTGAAGAAAGAAATTAAGGAAGATACAACTAAATAGGAGCATATACTTTGTTCATGGATTGGAAGATTATCATCAATTAAATATCCATATTACCCAAAGCAATCTATAGATTCAACACATTCCTATTAAAATACACATTTCACAGATCTAAAGCAAATATTTCAAAAATTCATATGGAACCAAAAAAGACCCTAAACATGCTCAGGGATCTTGTGAAAGAAGAACAAAGTAGGAGGTGTCCCAATACCTGATATCAAACTATATTACAAGGCTACTGTAATCAAAAGAGTCTGGTACTGGCATAAGAACAGGCAGGTCAGTGGAACAGAATAGAGAGCCCAGAAATAAACCCAAGTCTCTACAGTCAATTCGTATTTGACAAAGGGGGCAGAAGCACACAGTGGAGAAAAATAGTCTCTTCAGTAAATGGTGTTGAGAGATCTGGAATGGTACATGCAAAAAAATGAAACTAGACTACCAAGTGGATAAAAGACTTAAATATAAGTCATGACACCATAAAAGTCCTAAAGGAAAACATAGGCAGGAACATTTCAGATAGCACACATAGCGATATATTTGCTAATATATAACCTAGGACCAGGGAAATAAAGAATTCAGAAAATTTAATATAGGCAACAGACTTGTTAAATGGTTCTTCCCATGTAGCTTGTCCAACACACAACCGCTGCCTGCAGCTCCTAAATCTAACTGTGTGAATGAAAAGGGGCAACAGAATACACTGAACAAGCTTAGGGGCAATTTGGCAGCCCTGACAAGCCCAGTGACCAACAATAACTGCATAGCATTGTCTTCTCATGTATTCCTAATTGGGCAGGTCACGGTGAGTAGTCACTGTTCAAGACCAGATGTATAGCTTCCCTGGCAAAGATTAATCTTTACCAAAGTGAACCCTGTCCATTCTTCTTAGGCATCTAAGATAACATACCTTTGAAAGTTTCGAGTAATTTTTTTTCTAGACCCTTTGAAAGTACAACTGGCCCCAGAACACAAAACAAACAGAGCAGGAGACCATTGTTATTTCATTGCCCACATACTATCTCTATGGACTATAAATGTTAAATGTTAACTGTCCTGTACCTACCAAAGTAAAGGAAGCATGTATCTTTCCATCTTTCTGAAAAGCCAGTCCTAGAGATTAACCAGGTGTGCTTCCTCCAGCCTTCTTAACTGACCACCAATAGATTTCATAACATTTCTTAGTCTTTCTCTTTTAATTCTAAATGTATAAAATAAGCTACAAAACTGCTATTCTTTTGGAAATTTTCACAATCTGTTGATATTTTGCTTCTAGGCATGTCCTCAAAACTTTGGCTCAAATAAATTTATGTAAGGCTTCTACAGGTTTGGACATTCTTTCATCAACAACTGGTATATACACCTGTTGGATAGTCATACAGGTTGTTCTAGCCCAGACATTTCTGCTGATTTTATCTGGGGAGAACTGGCACTCATAATTTTTACAGTTATTGTTATTATTTTTGTCTAATACTTATTGAGTGTCCACTCACGTGTAAATACACATTTTCATATGTAGGCTGTAAGACACATGGCACAATGGAACAAAAGCCACAAAGGCATCAGAAAAAGATAAGAAGAGGTTATGAAGAAATGGAATTCTGCTTGTGGACAATAGAAGTAGAAATTACATACAAGATGAAAGAGTTAAGGCAAATCACTCTAGAGAACCTGGCTAACCCAGTAGTTTCTAAACTCTGATGCACCTTTATAAGCATTTGGAGAGCTTAAAAAAAAATGTCTGAGCCTGGGTCCCATCTCTAGAGATTCTGATTTAATAGCTCTGACGTGGGGCTTTGACACTGGTATTTTCCTAAGTTTCCGAAGTCATTTAAATGTGCTGACAAGAAGTTCTACTTCTCATTTGCAGGAAGGATTTGGTTCCCTATACTCCACTTGGGAAAAGTAATTATGTATCATAGATCATCTTCAGTTCACTCCATAACCCATTATGCATTCAATCTGTAAGAATTGATCTAAATTAATTTTGAACCAACCCTTTGAGAGAAGGAACTTTTATAAGGTTTATAATTGACTTCTTAATTTTATGGACTCTGATGGTATTCCCCTTTGCTCTTAATAATTCCAAAAGCACTAGCACTCTTTCAGGACCTTTTAAATTCTTTTTTTTTAAAGTCTTCTCTTATTCCGCTATTTCTTGAGATCCATTAGTCAAAATTATAATTGAGCACTCAATTATGTGAACAGCACTGTTCTAAGTATATCAAATCATTTAATCCACAGAATAACTATGTGAAGCAAGTATAATAATTATCTAAATTTTATAAAGAAGAAACTTTAGGCATAGAGGGTGAACTGTCTTGACCAAGAATATGCACCTAGCTAGTTAGAAAGCCAAAATTTGAATACAGGCACCCTGACTCTCAATAAGTAAATGTACTCCCATGTTTATCGACAGGGTGGTTTTAAGAGTGTTTGGGTAAATACCCATTTAAAGAATGATGGTGAAAACAAGTGTTGGTGAGGATGTGGAGGAAAAGAAACTATCACACATTATTGATGGGTTTGGAAATTGGAGCAGCCACTATAGAAAACAGTATGGAGGTTCCTCAAAAAATTTAAAATAGAAATACCTCATGACACAACTATTTCACTTTTGGGTATTTATCTGAAAACCACACTGATTTAAAAAGATACATGCACCCCTATGTTCATTGCAGTATATTTTATTACATATTGTAATAACTATATATGGAGCCAGGTAGGTACTAGACGTATTAAGGGGATCACGTCATAAATTATATAAATGTCTAAACACTAGGGTGTATATCTGAAACTAACATAAATATTGAATGTCAACTCTAACTGAAACTTTTTAAAAAAGAAAAGAAAAATATTTTTAAAATTAAGAATGATGGTGAGTCTGTGATTTTTCACTTTGCTATCTACCCTACATTTTGTTTTGGGGCAGGCCTGAGGGACTTGGGCTTTTAAACCTAGAACCTGGTACTGACTTGCTGCAGATCTTGATCTAGGCTGGAAGTGCAAGGGCTCACCCCTTTCTGGCATATACTAATCCTACTTCAAGGGTATATTCATTCTACTTCTGGGATATACTCCTTTGTGTATGACTATAGTTCAGCAGGGATCATTTCACCTTTTAA